AAAAAAAAAAAAAATTTTTTTAGTTGTAGCTCCCTTGTAAAAGGGCTTACCCAGCATGTGCAGTGCCCTGAATTCAATCCCTAGTACCCTCCAAAAAAACCTTAAAACTTCAGAAACGAAAGTAAATTCCTAGCTCCTCTTAGGGCCAAGGATTAAACTATATAATATAATCCAGCTCTGTTAACATTACCAAAAGGCCAGCCCCACAGGTTAAAATATTGAAGCCCCTAGATTCTGGCATCCTAAGACATGGTCACTCCTATATACAGTGGCCCCTTGAGTTACATCTGGCCTCATTTGTAACATGCAAACTATGTAGGCATACAAGCAACTTGGGGTACAACCAGAATTCTGGTTTTAACTTACAGCCAAAGTCTTGAGTTATGACCCAAATGCCGGTTGCTTGTGACTCCAGATGTTCTCAGGTACAGATTTAACTAACCTTCAAGAGTTCTGGTAGAAACATGACAACATCCTTTCCTTTGTGGATTTAGGTGAGAAATCCTGGGCCAATGTCTCTCTAAGGACACTTAGATATTCCTGGAAGAAAGTTATATAGGAAAGAGACTTTGCAGACAATTGACTGACCATCTTGAGTTACAACCAGCCCTTGGGAATGAATTGAGTTCCTAAGTCTTGGGTCCAGGATATTGCAACTTACCTAGAGCCCAGGGTTTCCCTTCTCTTCCAGACCAGTAGAGCTTAGATGAAATGCTGCTCTGTGATTTAGATTCCTGGCATTGTGATGTGTGCTGTAGTCCCAGCTGGTGGAGACTGAGGCAAAAGGATCCTTTGAGCCCAGGAGTTCAAGTTGAGGTTGGCCAGCAAAGGAAGATTTCATCTCAAAATGAACAAGATAAAACTCTTGCATACTTTTCTATTGGTAGGAATCAAACCCAGATCTTCCTGCATTCTCTACCACTGAGCTACGCCATACCCAGCAAATTGTATTTTTTTAAAAAGCCCCCTCCCTTTGAAGACTAGACAGAATTAGCTCCTGCCATTGGACAAGAAATCCAGTGAAGTCAAGAACCCAGTTAGGATGTACCAAAATTCTCATACATCTTTTGGATTATTGATTTTCCCCTAAACATTTCCTGTTCCTTTATCAAGACATTTGTATCCATACAGGTACAGTACAGGCAAAATACCAGTTTCATTTAGAATTTTGAATTGGGAAGCTTACTATATACCTAGAGTCACAATGGCTTTACTTTGATGATACATTGTTTTAACACAGACTTCACAGTCCTCTCCTCTCCCCTCATACTTACCTATTTCATCAAGTCAGAAGTAGAGAGGGTTGGAAATTTAGCTCGGTGTCCACTACCTGCTTCGCAAACACAAGATTCCAAGAGTTCTATCTGCGGTACCAAAAAAAAAAACTCAGAAGTAGACAGGAGCCAGGCTTGGTGGCCCTGGGAAGGCTGAGGCAAGAGGCATGTTTGAGGCCAAACTGCACTACATAGTGAGATCCTGTCTCAAAAAAGTAGACAAGAAAAACAGAGGAGGCCTTGCTGGGGCTCAGGCAAAAGAAACACATTTTCTGAGGATAGGAACTTATTCCTTAAGGGAGAATGAATTGAACCGCACATGCTCAGTTTCTTTCAGACTCACCAATGAGAGAGGACTCTTCCATGCCACTGGGAGTACTGGGGAAAGGTCACCCATTAGTGTCATTGAAGGAATCCAGCCCCTTTTATTGAGACAGTTTCTTACTATGGTTCAGGCTGTCCTTGAACTGCCTCAGCCTTCAAAAGCTGGGATTACGGGTGTGGTCCACCACCCTTGACCTTCAGATTTTTTCTTAGCCTGGTGTGGTGGTGCATGCCTGCAATCCCAGCAGTGGGGAAGCTGAGGCTCCAATTCAAGGCCAGCCTGGGGTGCACAGTGAGTTCAAGGCCAGACTGAAATACACTGCAAAAGCTTGACATAAAATCATATATACATACCTACATCTTTTGAGATGTTACTGAATGTTTAAATATATTCTCAAGTTTTACTCCGAAGCTAATATTTTCACTTTAACAAATAGAGACAATAAATAGTTAAAGTAAATTAAAAATTACTGTCTTCCTGCCACCTTGCCTGCCTTTCCACCCCTGAGATGCAGTATTATAGTCTTTTTATTTGTAGCTGGCAATGATAATCTCAGCTACTCAAGAGCTCATACATTTGAGGCCAGCCTGAACAGTCTAGGGTGACTGTCTCAAAATACAGTTTAAAAGTGTTGGGAGTATTGTTCAGGGGCAGAATGCTTGCCTACCAGGCATGAGGCCCTAGGTTAACCTTCACTACCTAAAGCTTTTTACCTTTATACTTCTACAAATTGAAACCCTTAAAGAGTACCCTTTCTCTATAAATCAGATTAATGGTATAGTAGTATGCATTCTCTCCCATGAAATAAATGTTGAATTGTGAGCATTTCCTCATGTGCAGATTATAATAGTTTAAAGTACTGCTAAGTAGTCTATAAATGGATACTGTTGGTAATTTATCCTTCCCCTCCCATTAATGACTACCTACTTTACATTTATTGCCATTTTAATCAGTTTTGCAACTCCTCATTTAGGTAACCATTTTATAGAATAACTTCTGAGGATAAACAGTGTAAAGTTTTTATTGGAGGTTTAAGTTTTTAATAAAATGCAAGGATTTTTACCTGCAGCAGTACTAGAACCAGTTTTTTCTAGCTTGTGCTGATATGATATCTGTTCTTTCTGCACTGTCTTTTTAATTTTGCCAAGGACAGGGATTTAGCTCAGGGGCATGCTCCTGCCTCTCAAGTGTAAAGTCCTGACTGAATTTGATCCTCAGTACTCTTTTTTAGTACAAGGGACTTGGGACCTTGTGCTTGTGAGGCAGGTGGCAGAACCACTGAGCTAAATCCCCAGCTCAAAAATTTTTTTTCTTTGCCAAATTCATGAACAAAACTGGTACAGTAGACCCTCAAGTTATGACTGTTTTGACAAGTGATCAACTTTGGTTATGACTGGAATACACTAGGAAAGTTATTGGTGTTCTTGGTAAATGATGTATTTTATACAACCTATTATTATGAGAAGGTTAGCTGAGGGGTGGTTTGGAGGCTCAGAATGCATTATGGGTATTTCTCTGATTTTTTATGGAAAAAATAGTCTTGACTTACAACCAACTCATGTTACAACCAGCCCTCACAAATGAATTGAGTTCATAAATCAAGGGTCCACTGTATCTGTTACTTCTTTAATAATAGAGCTACAGTATGTATCTGTTATCATTTGCCCATATTAAAATATTTTATCTTTGATTTGATCTTTCTACTTAAAAACTAAGATTGTCTCTTTAGAGGGGTTTGAATATGATCTAAAACAATGAACTGAGTCTCTTGACTTCGTATTTCTTTTTGTTTGTTTTGGTACCAAGGATCGAATTTAGGACCTTGTACTTGTAGCAAGGCAGATGGTGGAACCACTGAGCTAAATCCCCAGCCCCTTTGACTTTGTATTTTGTAAAGTTCTGGTCCTCTCAGGATAAAATGACATGGTGACAACTTTTTCTCCAGAGTAAATTCCAGTGTTAAATTTGTGGGGTTTTTTTCCCCCATACTATGTATTAGACTGAGGGCTTTCCCACTGAGCTACATCCTCAGTACCTTTTGTATTTTGAAACAGAGTGCCTAGCTAAATTGCCTATACTCTGGTGAAATTTAAGAGCCTCCTGCTTCAGCCTCACCTTACTTGTCTGTTTCCTTTGTTACATTTGTTTTAACAGTTAAGGGAAGAAAGCCGGAGGCTGGCATTGGCTGCCAAAAGAGAAAAGAGAAAGGAGAAGAGGAGAAAAAAGAAGGAAGAACAAAGAAGAAAACTAGAAGAAATTGAAGCCAAAAATAAAGAGAATTTTGAACTCCAAGTTGCTCAAGAAAAAGAAAAACTTAAAGTTGAAGGTATTTTCTGTAAACAGGAATCTAATTTGTTCTATGTAATACATTCTGGTAAAAATTGTATTTTATCTCAGTCGCTTAACAGAATTTTAAGCTACTGAGCTCTTAAGAGATCGTGTACTTTTTTTTTCCTTTCCTCCAATTTTTTATTTGACTTTTTTATTCCTTCCTTAAGCGAAGAGATGTCCTCTCCTCATGCTGCCCAAACTCATCTCTAACCCCTGTTCTCAAGTGACCCAGTCCCCTCATTCTTAAAGGTAGCTGGGACAACGGTTGTGTCCTACCAGGCCTGTCCCCCGCCCCTTTTTAAATTTAATTTAATTTTTTTTTTTTGAAACAAGGTCCTTTTATATAGTTCAGGCTGACCTTGAACTCACTTTTGAGCTCAGGATGACTTCAAACTTGGCAGTGATCCTCCTGCTTTAGCTTCCCAATTGCTGGGATTGCAGGTGTGCGCCACCACACCCAGCTGTCACATAGATTCTTAAAATATTTTGGTCACATGTTCTATCTGTCTTCTCTCTTTTTTGAAGCAGTGTTCATGTAAAGCTGATACATTATTTAAATTCACCTATATATACTTGAGTATGTATAACTAACTACTTATACTTTGAACAGTTCAGTCATATCTGCCCCGTTATCTATGACTGCTGGAATGACTGATAACTTTGTATATTAGTAGTAAAGTAACTCCTGGTTTTGTTGTTTTCTTCAAGTGCTTAAAGCTAAATAGAACTTGCTAATTGAGCATTGCTACTTTTACAGAAGAGCCTGAAGTCTTGACAGAGCCTCCAAGTGCCACAACCACTACGACCATAGGTATATCTGCAACCTGGACGACTCTGGCAGGCTCCCATAGTAAAAGAAATAATACCATAACTACCACCAGTTCAAAGAGGAAAAACAGGAAAAATAAAATTACTACAGAAAACGTTCAAATTATATTTGATGACCCACTACCGATTTCATACAGTCAGCCAGAGAAGGCGAGCGGGGAGTGCAAGAGCAGCAGCACTAGTGAGAGTGGGGACAGCGACAACATGCGGATCTCCAGCTGCAGCGATGAGAGCAGCAACAGTAACAGCAGCCTGAAGAGTGACAGCCACCAGCCAGCTGTGGCCACCGCCTCTGTGACCACCAAGAAGCAGCCATCCGTGCTGGTCACCCTTCCCAAGGAGGAGAGGAAGTCTGTTTCTGGCAAGACTTCAATGAAGTTAGTTCCACTTTTTATATTTACTGTTTTAGAGTGTCGTCATAAACACTGTCTGCTAAACTTTCGGTAAAATAAATGAAATAACTATTAGATAAATCAAGTTAATTTTATTACATAGATAATTTCTTGTTGATTGTTAAACTTATGAAAAGTACTAATTGTAATTTCACGAGGTTTTTATGGTTTGGTGTTTTTTGTTTTGTTTTGTTTTGTTTTTTGAGACAGGGTCTCACTGTGTTTTAGCCTGGCCTTAAACTTACTACTTGGCCCATGCTGGCCTTGCACTTACAGTGATCCTCCTGTCTTAGCCTCCCAAGTGGTGAGGTTTCATGCTTGTGCCACCACACCCTGTCACAGGGTTTACTAATTGTGATTCAGCTCAGCTAAATTTGTCTCCAGTGTAATATT